AATAATGGCTGGAGATGCAAGTCTTAAGGTTATCAATGCATGGACCATGCATGGATCTTACCAATGCATGGGTCTTGTTCCACCAAGCTCAAATATTATTCAGTGTTGACTGGCAAGAGTTTCAGGCCCACCTGGAGATACCTTTCCTGATCCCAAAGATCTGGAGATGGGATGGGCTAAGCATCTGATTCGATCCCATCCCACTGGAATACCAGTGTTTTCATGTTCTTATCCCATTTCGATCACACAGACACACACACATTGTTTGTTTATTTGTAATGGTTTGGAAGATGTGAAAGAAAAGCAAGAAATTTCCTTGGAGTAGGGTGTCTTTTTAAGACCCAGGTGAGCAAAACATTGTTATGAATGAGGGAAAGGCAGGGGGCTACAAGAGAGCAGCGTGGGGAGGGGGGAGAATTTCCTTTACCATCATGCTTTTATCTCTTTCAGCCACCCCAATAGAGAATTAAACGAATTTCATTTCCGTGATGAAGGAATTAATGGCCAACAAAAAAATATATATTGAAGAATTGAGTTCAGGTAGGAGACCAGAATCCGAAAGAGGACAGGAAGCCTTGATATTCAAATAGGGAGAGAGAGAGGTTATTATGTAACCATAAAAGGGTCCTATTTTACAAGTTAAGACTATGAAATGCATAAATGTAGACCGAGAGATCCCTCTGGGGAAGTGGGATTGTGCTTTTAATTCACCTAGACAAATAGGCAAGCAGGCTCCCATTCAATTCTTGCACACCTTTTCAACACGGGAGGCCCAGGTGTACTGAGCTGGGGGGTGGGAAAGAGGTTATACACACACACACACACACACACACACATCTCAGTTCCCTGAGCAGAGGAGCTTTAGGAACAGTGCCATGGACTTCTTCAGAACGTGGTGGGCTTTCTTGCGTTGGATCCCACCTGTCAGAAATATTTTAGCTATGATTCCATTGCAGGGTATTGGGCTAATTGACCCTTTGGGTCATTCGTTTGTTTTCGTTTCAACTATTTTGTGCTTTAATCCTGTGTTTTTATCTTGTGAACTGCCCTGAGATCTTCAGATTAAGGGCAGTATATAAATTTAATAAATAAAATAATGAATGAATGTGGTTTCCCTCTTAAAGGTAAAGGTAAAGGGACCCCTGACCATTAGGTCCAGTCACGGACGACTCTGGGGTTGCGGCGCTCATCTTGCTTTAATGGCTGAGGGAGCCGGCGTACAGCTTCCGGGTCATGTGGCCAGCATGACTAATCTGCTTCTGGCGAACCAGAGCAGCGCACGGAAATGCTGTTTACCTTCCCGCCAGAAGGTATCCTGCCAGAAGGTACCTATTTATCTACTTGCACTTGATGTGATTTCGAACTGCTAGGTTGGCAGGAGCAGGGACCGAGCAACGGGAGCTCACCCCGTCGCGGGGATTTGAACCGCCGACCTTCTGATCGGCAAGCCCTAGGCTCTGTGGTTTAACCCACAGCGCCACCCGTGTACCAGTTTCCCTCTTAGATCCTGATTTAAAAAATCAGTATGTAAGGCAAGGCTGCAAAGGTGATATCTGCCTGACTTGAGGGAGGACGTTCCTTGTGCCTAATCTGCTTTAGATGGGGAGCTGCTACCCAGATCCTTAGAGATGGGGGCAGATGTCCCCATCTGTCTTGGCTGTGCCCAAAGCTCCTTAGAAGTTCAAAGCCCATAAGAGATTCAAGGGGCATCTTCTTACAGTGGTCTGTTTTGTTTTGAACGCCTTTAATGAAAACAATGCTTTTGCTCATTCCAGAGATGTTATGCTCTGATAAGGTAATTGCACAAGGGGACAAGCTTACATCCTATTACGGCTGCGCTCGGGATTTGGTGCTGCAATTGAGAGTCCCATGGGCTCGCTGGAGCTACACCCGTCACCTCCTGCAGCAGACAGGTGAACT